ATTGGTCCTCACCAGGTCGACTGTCTGGTGCAGCTGGGAGAGGCTCTGGCGGACGTTGCGCCGGGTGCGCTGCAGCTTGCTCAGGGCCAGGGCCAGGGCACGGTTGCGCAGGCTGCTGGACAGGGCGCTGAGCCGCAGCAGGCAGCCCGGCTTGCTGCACGGCGGCGGGGGCAGAGCCAGCAGCCCCTCGGTGCCCAGCACCCGGTCTGGCAGGGGCAGGCAGTGGTCCAGCCACCCCTCAGAGGTGTCCAGCGCCCGGTTCATGCTGTGCAGCACGAGCTGCCCCACCTTGCAGCCCAGCAGGGCCCGGATGCCTTTGCCCATGGCCGTGGCGTGGTTTGGGGCGGCCGTGAGCGTGGGGCCAGGGATCACAGCCTGTGTTGTGCTGGGGCCTGCGGGCATAGCCTAGAGACAGGAGTCAGAGTTGGGGGGAGGAGGGGTCAGAGGATGCAGTACCCTTCGCACGCTCATGCCAAGATGCCAGCTGCCCGCCAGCCTAGCAGGTGAGGGAGTCTGGTCCAACCCCTCCCTGGAGCTCCAGACACCCTGCTCTGCCCTGCCACCGCCTCTCTCAGTGACCCCAGGCAAATCCCTTTGCCCCTGTGCCCAGAGCGGACTGTGCAGCCAGGCAATGCCTCTGCCAATGCTGGGATGACAGCATCGCTGTGCCCCCACCTCGAGTTACAGCCCTGGCGAGGGGCTGAGCTGGGGCTACCTGCTCCATTGGGACGGGCAGCTCCTCCCCTGGCTCTCTTGGGCCCTCACTTTTGTTCTCCTGTGTTGTTCCAGCTGTAGGACACACGGACACACGGATGGACGGAGGGATGCATGGATGGACGGCTGGCCGCTGGGTTACTGAACGGGGGTGGGGGAGCTCCCTGCACAGAGCAGTGTGGCAGGAGGCACCTGGCTGTGTTCAGCAGTGACCCCGGGCTGCTCAATGCTGTGGGGCACCTGGGAGCCCTGGCGCCACCCTGCAGCCGCATGGACCTGGGGTAGGAATCAGAGCCAGAGCACACTCCCTCCCCGCCCCCCACAGCCTCACCC